TGCCAGCGAGTCACACTTTTACAACTAAATATAGCTCTTTGTGCAGTGGTCAGGGATGGACCATTATTTTTTTGAGGGAGGGTTGGGTAATTTACAAAAAAATTCTTGCACAGTAAAAACTGCTGAAAAAAACTGTGCAAGAGAAGCCGTGGGGAAAAAATTGAGCAACTGTTTTCTACTATCCACACCCTGTGTTTGACTTTAAAAAAATTCTTCACAAGCCATAGTCCACCAAAAAAACATGCTCAACCTAAAGGTGAGCAAAAAGTTCCATGCCCCAGAAAATTGAAAAGATAGAGATAATCAGTTTTCAAAAATTCATTGGCCCAGGCAAAAGAACAAGGGTTTATTTGACCTAAAATTTAAGCTATTCAAACTCAAATCCTGGGGGGAGGGGGTTTCTGTAAATCTTTTGAGCAGAGGTATGCCACTGGTACACTGAAACCCTTCCCCTATGCTACACGATGATCAGCTTGATTTTGCAACCCTATTCTGCACTAAGCACCAAAACCCCTACCCTATTCCAGACTAGTTATTTTCCACGTTGAACCTTTATCACTATTGTAGTCCAACATACGCTTAATAACTAGATCAATCTCTTCAGTCATCCAGGAACAGTCACTTACTGACCTGTGAATGAATTATTCTTTGACAAGCACGTACTCCGAAAAACAAATAACTTTTAATTTCCATTTTATATCGTAATCACCAACTTTTGGCTGCATGTTGATAGTTAGTAAGTTTCACTACAACCACAAAGTACTTTCAGTGGAAAACAATCTGTTTATAAACAAAGTCACCAATTTGCCTTCATTTGTAATTCTGTTTATAATTTTGAAGTTCTCACCTCCGAGTTTCAAGTCCAACCATAGAACCCACAGTCAAGAACCCTGTTCTAGAGTAAATTATTTAAACATCCAGTGGTGGATNAATATCTCACACAGTCACTTCTGAGTTTCATTTTCTATTATAGGACTGGACCTCAGGTAAAGAACCCTGTTCTAGCCTAAATTATTAATACACAGGCCACTTTCCTGGTAAATTATAACCTATTCTACAGCAAAACTGTCTGACTTCTATACCCTATCCCAGACTAAACTACCTCAAACCCATACCCTTCAGGCGGCATATACCAAAATAGCTTATATATAGGAGTACCCACCCCCCCCCCTTCCCACAGCCCCCACCCCCTTCTACCGCGACTCGAAAAAGCACAATTAATATTTATCGTACACAGTTGTGTACATTTTGAGATTAGGTAGCTATTAAAGTTCCATTGATATTATCCGGATCAAGATCAATGATTCTAGATCCCTCGGGCCATGGAACATCAAAGGAACCCATGAATCCACTCTAGGCAAGTTAAGGATTCGTCCCGATCACTTTGATGCGCCATGCATGATCTGAGTCCGGGGATCTGAGCATGAGCTATCCGAGTGATCTAAGACCGACACAACCAACATTCATGGTTGCGAATGACTCTGTATTATCTCAGTCATTACATAACGTAAGCAAACTAGAATACCTTTCCATCAATTACTATCCAAGCATCATCAACTTTGTTGTGTCTTTGAACTTCTTGCAAGGACAACAACCGCTCATCAAAGTTCTCCATCAACAGTCTCGACGTGCGAAGGGACTGGGACTCGAACAACATCACCCCACCGGGTAACCCACTGCCTCCCGGCGAGCGCGAACGAAGCCCAGCCCCCGATCGCTTCGCTCTCCGAATTCTTCAGTTTCGCTCTCGTTTTCCTTTTTTTTTTTTTCATTTTTTCTTTCGTCCTCACCGGAAGACTGTTCGTAGGCCTCGGTTACCCCCTCAAACAAATCAAATAAGTTGCGCGGTATCTTATACATAATTGCATGTTCACGCAATGGCGAGAAAAATCCTCTGGACGGCTTATCACAGCCCCACTATAAACATGTAATTTTTTGCTACCCTCTAGTAATTATGCTTAGATGTAGACGGCCGTTCCTTCCCTCCCCTCCCCTCTCACCACATTTGTTTCTGCCAACAGCGACTTGAACAAGTGATATTGCTTGGTATGAAAAATAAGTTAACTCTTTACCTTTTTGCAAGTCGAAATCAAAAAGCGGAAACGAGGGTCTATTTTGTCTATTTGTCAGTTGTCAGTTAAGCGGCTGTTAATAAACTGAAGACCTTAAATGGCTTGAACCTCCCCTAGTTGACCCCTTTTATAGAGAGCATGCGTGTAGTAGAATACAAAACCCTTATTTCCTTAAAATTCTTTGTTTTCTACTTTTCATCAATCAACAATAAGCATCTCAGTTTCTTACAAGCAACTTCTAATGAAAATTAATGCCTAAATTTTGGTGTACCTCCAATATCTACCACTGTACCTTGAAATCCAGACAAAAACGAGTTCGTACTGTCCTTCTGGATCTGGACAACAGATTTAAAACAGGTTTCGACATCATCGACCTCAAGATTCTCTTACTAAAGCCAGCTAACTATATGGTATTGATCAAAAGGCCGGAACTTATCCCGGTTTGTGAAACATGAAGCGACTAGGAGTATTTCAACTTCCCCCTGGATGGGATGCTAGTCCATAGCAGGTCTACCCCCAGCATTAAGTTCGCCGGTACCCATTTATACACCTGCGCGGAGAGAGGCACTGCAAGAGTAAAACGTCTTCCCCAAGAACAAAACGCAATGTCCCCAGCCAGGGCTCGAACCCGCACCGCTCGATCCGGAGACGAGCGCACTAACCTGAACAATGAGGCCACCGTGCCTCTCCTGATCAAAAGGTCCGAAAGTGGTTTTACTCTTATCTAAGAGATCGTCAATGAAAGTATCTAGTCAGTGGCGTGCTGTCTGGAGCGCGCTGCTGTTACCTGTGGTGGTCCACAGGGAAGCCCTTTTGGTCCCCTCCCTTTCCTGATTTATGTTGACGACTTGCCGAACTTTCGGAATAAAGCTGTACCACGAATTTACGCCGACAATACAAGCATCAGCATCGCCGCCAGTAGCTTGCTACCACAGCTTGAATCAGCAATAAACAGTGACGTAGCTATAACCTTCATGAATGGCCAAATGCAAATAAACTATTAAAGCTTGAATATTGCAAAAACCGAGCTGGTGGTAAGTAGGCTCGCGACAGAGACTTGCTAGTGCCTTTGGCCAAACACTTGCTATACACTGAAATAGAGGGCCACGAAATTAATAGAATGCGTCACACCAAATCCTTAGTAGTCTACAGACAATCGATCAAAATTTGTTGTGGTCTTAACAGGCAAGTAAGACTCCTAATTTGGTTACCTCCTCTGGTATACTTAAAAGGTTGAGGTCGTTCATATGTGAAGATACAGCTATATCGCCATATAGAGCTATCACCGAACCAGATTTTTATTATTGCTGACCTGTGTGGGACGCTCTCAACAATGAAGTTTTGGGAAAACGAAAACTTGATATTGTCCCTAAAAGTACAAGATGTAGGCTTCAGATCTATTTCCCGCGGAAGAAGAATTATCTTTAACTAAAAGTAAAACCTGCTGTTTCCATGCAAAAAGATACAACCTATTACAGTTAATCTGTCATGAGAACGCTATGGTGAGATCATGTCACTTTTGTAATAGAGATGGTCAATTTCTATAAGCTTGCAGATATTAAAAATAAAGGTCATATTAATAATTCTTTAAAAATAGCGCCATTGACGTTATCGTTCAGTTACATATTGAGTAGTCTGAGAATACACTGTTCGTTGAAAGAGAAATTAAGGTTTTTAGTCAGGTACAGAACAGTGACAAATAGTTCCTTCTTCGTCATTCTTCGGAGTTTTTAGATAAATTTCAGTCATATTCTGACAGAACTTTTAAAAGAGACTATGGTCTCGAAAAATGAGTGCAAAATGAAGGTGGCATTTGGCAAATTAATTGACATGTGTTGTCAGTTTTACTCCTCCGCGAGTTGATAAGTGCCTAATGATAGACATTTTCACCCACAAACAGCCTGAAACAATACTGGAAACCATGCGCAGCAAATTTTATTTCACTCACGGTTTATAGCATACAAAAGCTAATAACTATTGCCATTGCTCGATCTGTTGAGCTATTTTTTGACCACCTGTAACTATCAAATCACTTATTAAAAATGAAAACTATTCATTATATAGTCATTTAGTCTATTTCATGGTCCTAAAAGCTTGGAATAACAGTGCTTCAAAACCACCCGC